CAGCGCATAGTTTACAGCTAAGACCCAGTCGGAAAAGGAAACGACCAAACTGGCTCCAAGTAAACCCAAAGAAGAAAAACTATGATCAGATTCAAGCAGTCCGGAAACAGTATCAAATTGAAAGGGGAGGTAATACGGCTACGCATCAGCCTACTGCGCAGCGGAACAGTCGTGTGGAACAGAGCCGTGCGACTATGCCACCACGTCGGAATGACGTCCGATTTCATCATGTGCCGGAGAAAGGTCAAATAAGGACACAGAATGTTCACACCCACTCCATGGCCAAGGCATCCCGTACACAAGCGCACAGACGGCCATCTACGATCAATCGAGACAAAGGAACAACCGCCCGAGGACCGGTGTGGGTGTGTGGGAGACACACTGGTTGGTTCACAGCGGATCGACCGTCAAATACGGTGACAAGTGAATCATATATACAGAAGTTTGTAATTGCGTTAATACACAGTTCCTTCAGGTCGTCTTCTTGTCTTCTGACTATAACCCAGTAGCGTCAGGGCAGGTGAAGAGATACAACATGGTCTAACCTCAGCACCTCGACTGCTGCTGCCTAGGTTTGAGCAACCTGATAGCACCTCAGCTCACCTGACTGGCTTTGCAGTCAGAAATCAAAACGGTGTTACAGGTGGACGATTCTTTATCTATAATTCCGCCTACTCATGTCAACTTTACCTTGTAAATAACAAGAATGGATGCGACTGAAAGAACACGTGTGAGTAAATGAATCTAAACACCACACAAGGAGGTAGAAAATACAAATACTCTCATTTGCAAATCAATTTGGTTTTCACGGGGGACTCAAGTAAATCTCTCGTTTATGATGTTCTTCAACTGAATATGCTGCACACAGTCTTACTTTTCACTTGGTACGATATGCGAGATATCACTGTATACAGATATATTGTACCAACTGAAACATGGGGCGGCCTGTGTGCAGCACATTCAGTTGAAGAACATGATAAACGTGAAAACCAAATTGATTTGCAAATGAGGATATTTGTCGAAGTCAGTCCCAATTGGGTTCAAGTAGGACATAAGGTTGACGGAAACTCGAGTGCTGCACCTACCTGACGAGCTCCAAGAATGGTGAAACCGGTCGTGGGTTTTCGAAGAGTTTTCAGCAACCTTGTGGATAGTTCGTTTTATGAGGTAGAACCTAGTTTAAAATCAAACGCTACGTCGAAATAATCGGTGAAGGTTAAAAATTCATGGTTACAGGGTGGATTTTGAATTCATCGACATGATTTTTTAAGGGTGGAGTTCGACCCCTAAAAACTGTCGTCCTGCCGACGGCTAAAAGCCACTCTTTCAACAATGCACTGGTTCATCGCTTCTCATCTGAGCGCAGTTTACCCTCCTCAAATTGTCAGTAACAGCAATGGAAACCTTGTTTTTTGTCGCTCGTGAATTTTCGAAAACGCTTCCCCGCTGAATTCCTCGCCATCGCATCAACAAACAGAATTTCTTCATCCACACAGACTACTTTGTCCTAGAGATAACTGTGTCATAGTAGGAACACTGGCCCTCATTGACCGTTTGCTAAAATTTCATCTGCCATTGCCACTCTACTCCCATTAGGACTTTGACCAACGCGTTCAACTGAGCGCTGCCAGCTCATTCGGCACAGTAACAAACTTACAGCTAAGGAACAAATACAGTTTGGCAATTGAAGCGCATAAAATAAAAGATGTCAACAACTTTATTTTATCTATTAATTCCGAGTAAGTAAGGCTGAACACAGTCAATTTATCCAAGTTCTGACCATGTTCTGCCATGTTAAACACAGGCAGTGGTTATAAAGCGCAATCTCTGGGCTGATTTAAAACTCGGGCAACGATCACTGATTCCTCAAATTTAGCTCTGAGCTCAAAACCATGAACACAGCAGATACAGATGTGGGTCTGTGTGTGTGTTTGAAACAAACATGGGCAAATGAGAGAAATAAAAAATTTGATTAATAATCAACGCTGTACAGATCAAAATGTGACGATCTGATTAAATAACATGACCTCTCACTAGATATGATTTCCAAGAGGGAAGCAATCGGATTGCCTAAATACTTCTACTAGATAGTATCGTAACCGTCGCTCGAGGAGTCGACTCCTAAGACTTCACGACGCCTTGCAACTCGGTAAAATCACAAAATGTGGACTTAGAAATATTCAGGTTGTCTAGATGGTTCAGACTCCAACTGGATGGTTGTGGTGGCGTCCTATCATGTGACGCAGTCGGCCAATTCCATCGATTGAAGATTGGAACTTTGATCTATCGGCTAAACGAAAAACACTGAAGCTGGTGTAGCACTGGAATGCTAATCAGGTATGCAGTCACCACCTTTGGTAAGGACTCATTCAAAGTGCTCAAAATATTTTAACTGAAATAGATGCCCACTCTACAAAAACTACCTTCGGACACAGATCGCCAGGTCACACAAATCTTATGAGACGACGGAACACATAAGTAATCGCTAACAAACGACGGTAGTCCGACTTCATCTTACTGATAGCTGATCCAAGTACAATGACCATTTTACGTTTCTGTATGTTCAGAACACCTGTTAGGAGGCTCTGTTTTCAGGATGGCCATCTTATATCCAACACCCATGAAGTGTTTGTGACATCGGTACTTAGTATTCGGAAAGCGGATCTCAATGTGTTCCTCGCTGCTTCCGAAGACTTTTTATGCAGTGGTCTGTCTTTCATATGTGTCTTTCGTATGTGACAGTTCGATTCTTCACAAACAGGTCGTATGTGACAGTTCGATTCTTCACAAACCCGAGATGGATGAATGGCCATGGAAAGCGTGAGGTTTGTACGCGATGCGGGCAGTAGGTAGTTCAAATAGACCACCACGGTGTGTATAAACAGGACCAGAACCTGAATATGGGGCCTCCTCTTGCGGTCGACGCTAGTCAGATAAATAGGGTGGCTTTGATAGACCCAGCGACCAGGCTGGTTTGGAGAAAAGCAGATTGGTGCAATATCAGACCAAACTTCGGAAAACGCCACGTATCTGGTTTTTCAATTCCATTTTGCTGCTCACCAAGAGGCTGATGCAAACTGAATGCATTTGTTTTACTTGTGGACTGATGGCAACCCATATGACTGGGAAATGAGTAATCCAGTCCTATTTAGTAGAGGGTCTCATTCGAGTGGCATCGCAGCTAGGCACTGAAAAGGTGCTACATGTGAACGATAAAAAATATAAAAGTAGACGGTCTGTCGGATTGTGATATTTGTTTCATACTCGGTGCTAGTGCTATTAGATAGCCCTGCTGTTCCAGAAAATCCGATAGCTCCGATACAATTTGGAGGCATCCCCTCAAAAACTGCCTTCCCTTCAACGCATGTGCTTAAGGTCTGCTAAGCACATGTCTGTATTCTACGTATCAGTTAAAAGGTCCAGCTGAATCAACTATTGTCGTTCTATCATGAAGTCACTGCATTTACAAGTGCTTCATCTGTCTCGCCGCACGGTTAATAACAGATATCATCACACAGATCTGAATATTACAAGCCTGATTTCAAGTTGACCACAGCACTTCCTCTCGCACATTCAGACCAGGAAGAGCGGTATTTTTGGCATGGGCATGGGAGAACCATTTGTGCATTCATGTGGTTAGAATTCCGTAGCTAACCTATCTTGTCGTAACCATGTTTGGATCCTACGGCACTCAAATTTTCCGAAGGCGCATAGTTTCATTCATCCCAGATAACCCATTACTAATGCAAGGTCTATTGACCCACCGATCTATCCAAAATTAAGGCACTGATAAAGTCGGCTAATCGTAAGAAATCTCACGGACCAACTACCTCAAAACCCGACCAATCTAGTAACGTACTCAGTTAGCCTGACGAACCTTTTACGTCAAAAGTGAAACGTTTCCCAGCAATAAATTGTTTACCAAACCTCTAAGAAACGATGAGTACTCAGTCGGTCCCACGCATTTTCCAGTCAATTAAGGTAGATATTTTTTCGGGTTTCATTTCTGACTGTCCTCTGCGCATGTGGTGACTGATCTATTCACAAAAGGTGGTGATTCTTCTCAGTAGAGCATTTATTCAGTCCTAAAAATGGTTGCGTATCGATTGGTTTTACTATGCTACAAATACCCTATTTTGTGTTGTTCTTCAGGTGAAGTAAGAAGACCCCAATTCACAAGTTCATGGAGAATTCATAACTGTCCCTGAATGTGGAGTGCCCCCCCCCATTAATGGATGCGTATTGTACATGCAACGTGACGAGCCTTCATGCCGGTTGTCATCCCATCTTCGCACCACTGAACCCGCATCGATAAGAACCACGGAATAAAGCAATCTGAAAAGAAGATTCTGATACGACAGTGTCAGCTAGAGGAATATCGAGGTATCGTCAGCTGTCCCATCCTACGCACTGGTTTGTTTAACTTCATTTATACTGCAACTGTGAAACCTTCCAATAAATGGATCCGTACATGTATACTAAACTGATTAGTCAAATCACGTCAGGCCCGATCAGAACAGTGGTGTGGTCAGTTGTGTGAAATCGTGGTTGAGTGGTAGATCTAGGGAGTTTTCATTGTGTTGTTTCCTCTTGGGATTGGGTTGACCAATTGGGGGGCAATGGATGACCACAACAGAAAATACTCTGCCATCATAGTTTTTGCTATTTTGGGGAGAAGGACGTTTATCCAAGACGTTCGTACTCAGCACTGACATCCATTTGATTCACATTAACCCAAGGGTGTGCTATTCCAATTTTGAGTCCAAAGGTGTGTTGGACAGTTCACTCAGGATTTAGCTTTCCTAGCCCTTTGAAGTGATAAGCCACAGTGGACAAGCCGCGCAACTAGCGCTCAAAAAGGAAATGAAACTCAGCATCTAGCATATAGTTCACGTAGAAGATGACCAAAAGGGATATAGCGATTGTGAAGCAAACTGGTGGTGTTTTCCCGCTGAACATGGTCCGAGTAAATTCAACTTCACAGGGCACTGGAGTGCAAAAGACTCGATCCAAAAAATGCCACCAAGAATCAACAACAAAGTGACGTAGTGTGCACAGCTGACGCCTGAAATTCCACCGCTGAAAGAATCTAGAAAGTGGTATGAAATGGAATGCAGGAACCTTACAAATTGCACAACAGTTAGCCAGGCTTGAAAAAGTGTAGTTCTACTGAATCCGTTTTATGCTCCAACTGATGGACAGAAACCGAACCTACCGCGCGCTTTCTCGTCAGCGAACTCTTCGATTTAGGTCGTTCTGTAACTATACTACGGTTGGAAGTGCTATCAAGTGTTACAGACGCATCCCGTTAACCTCGGAGCAACGGTCTGAAATGCACTCCGCGAAAAAGGAATATCGACGAGCCCCGTTGCAGGGCTGAGTAGAGGGATCCCGAGTAGCTAAAATAAATGTACGTGTTGTATTGTTCATCCGATATTCCATCGTCCCGTGTTTACCGTAACTGGCTCCGCCATCAATTCATGTATAGTTTTCAGCATGCACCATCCCAAATACCGGCAGGTGTATACTGTAGTCCACTACATAATCACAATACAAGCGTTAATCTTTCTTGGAAAATACTTCAGCACAACGAAGCCGGTCGCGCAGCGTGACCAAATGGGATGATCGCATTGGGCAGAAGTGCATCAGAGATTTACGAGTCCTAAATTAGAAAGCGCGCCTTGTCCGGGATTTTAAGATACACACAGCTTCGTTGCAGCCATTTGGCACGGAGACCAACGCAACTTTTCAAGGGACAGTAGTCGTATTTCGAATGTGGATTTCTTGGTGAACAGAAAAAAGTCTTCACCGGGAACCAGGCGAAATTAATCAGTTCTTTCGTTGTTGATTCCCCACACGAATCGACGACGGCTACTTCTCCAAGTTTTGTTTGACCATTCATGAGTAGTATGATTTATACCTGCTCAACATAACGTCACGTTACTTCCCTGCCTCCCGTCTCATTTTTTGCTTCCGTTTAATAGTGATTTACGTCTAGTTGATGGCACGGATATTTCGGTCTTCACTGATGACAAGATGCCTGAAAACTCGAATGGCGGGTGAGCATGTTATCCATTAGAACAACTGGGTTCCCACTACAGCCATCCTTTAATAGTACCTGTGTATTGCACCTCGCCTGATAGTATCTGCTGCTTTTGTATTCAATTTGATTTCGCTGCACATGCTGTTTTGACACTTTTTCAGTTAGTGAGCAAAGTTACACCTATTTTTGTGCCCAACTCATCCTATACCATATAATTTGCGTCTCGCTTTTGATTCGGAGCTACCTTCCGAACACAATAGCTGCTACAACGCTTTCACATCCGTATAGCATTTGTCTACACAGTCCGAATGCCCGTATCCGTAGATCACTTGATACCTACTCATCATTGCCCATACTGTGCCCTTTTCCGCTCCCATCAAATGCCTGATTGTCTATTGTACTTTCTGTTTATTTCATACCGGAGCAGATGAGCACAGTACATGTGCGACATTCCAGATTTATTTAGCTGTCTCATCAAGCATACTACACAAGTCAAAATCACCATGTTACAGTTTTGCTCTGTAGGGTATCATGGCAGTGTCAGCGAAGTGAAAAACTGTTGATGCTTACATTGGTTCGGCCTTCATTTGAGAATAACGACGGCTCTAGCAAACCTCTCGAGTTTGCTGTGCTGAACACGATATCAAGTGCGGTCGCTAGATCGATGCGATTCTCGTTCCCGGTAAGATGACCGGCAACTGAAGAGATTAGCAGTGCAGGCTGCAAGCATCTTTGGCTTTATTGTTGTGTCGGTGCATTTGACTGGTCAGACCGTCTTAGTATCCTCCATGGAACGTGCACGCCAACACTGAATCGTCACTACCGTGCTGTTCTGACTAGGTAGGTGATACTGAACCCACAAGTGAATCGGTGGATGATGTTGGATTCACTAGACGGTGGTAATGAGACTGACTGGTGGCACTGTAACACCATTTCTATTTTGAACAAAGACGGGCCTGTCAATATGTTCGGAATCGCGCCAATTTGAGGTTCACCAAGGAAGTGGGTAGAGGAAAGTATAGTTATTCTAAAGAATATACTCAATGTAACGCGGCTCAGAATCGAAGACGGCCTGGAGTAATCCACCCGGGATAGATCAGCTACCATGGCAAGAGGCATAAACAATTGAGTGTAAGGGAAATGGCTCCATAGGTGTTTTGTCTATTGAGGGTTTGTCAAACAGCCATCATGCTTATCCAGGTGACCGGTCCCCTTGTTGGCAACGACCTACAGAACAACTATCACGACAAAGCGGTATATCCCTGAATTTCAAGGGACATATGTAACGATCTACAGTACGGGTTGTTTTGTTCTATGGGCGTGAGACACAGCCTCTGCGAGAAGCCGAGTTGACGTCTTCAGGTCTCCAGTAACCGGACCATGGCACAAGGAGATTGATCCCCGTGAATCTGCAACGAGACAATTAGAAAACACTCACACCAACTCCACCATCCAATCTTGTCTCTGATGCGCTAATTCTGTCCACTTATGTATTCAAATCTCTGGCTTTCAGTTAATCGTAACGGATTCTCAAAGCGTCATCGATGTTGTCTTTGGTGGTGTCACAACAACAGTTGACTGGGGAGGGAGTAAACCTATATGACAAGGAGACAACGGTCAACCTCTCACTCATGAGAATTCTTCACGGACGTTACCAAATGAACAAACCCGAGGTGACTACCAACGGGTCAAGCCGGGATCCTTCCACCCAGTAACTTAGGGCTACGCCAACCACTACAAATCCTGTGCGGTCTGTGAATCGTCAGAGGTGGATGATAGGGATCGAGTGGAAAATGATGGGGCAGTTAGCTCAGGGATTTTACTTTTTTTTTCGATACACAGCACAAGCAAGACCCTGCTTGCTTTCAAATGCAAACAGTAAAAGCAGCTCGATAAATCACAGATCGAGACTTGAAGATTGGTTTCAAGGCGTCCGTGACTGTCAGCGCAGGCTCACGCGCAGACTTCACGGGAACGGCCCTGCTAGATGAACGGGGCTGTGGGCCTGACAGATGGGTCTATAAGGAGAGTAGTACTAGTGGGGTGGGGAAACGGAAAAAATATGGGAAGAGAAACAAGGGAGGTGTCAGCGATATCTTGTTTTCGCTCAAATTTTCTGCTCCATGTAGCTGTAGACCGATGATACCTCGCGACTGCATGGCAGTGTTTTTAGTTGTAGAAATCATGGTTGTACGAAGGCACGGCAAAATCCAGTACCCTCGTGACGGGATGAGTTCAGTGGTTGTTAGATTAATCCGGCTAACCCCGGAGAGGTTAGCATACAAACTTTGCTTGGTACCGTAGCTGAGATACTGCTACATCGTCTTAGTTTTCGAAAGTCCGGTGCTCTAACTCAAGAACCCTTGAAGTTCTGCGAGCACGCATTGGCATTTGGACTGATTCGGATGCCTGGATATACACAGAAGTCATGAGAAAAATGAAGGTAGCGAAGCTTTTCCCTATAGATTACTTTCGTTCGCTGACAAGTGGCACAGTAGACACCGAAGAACGGGCATACTGATCGGAAAGGCGTTAGCATCTGGAAAAAGTAACCGCACCAAAGCTCTGTCACCGGTCTAAAGTCACAACACAATGGATGTCTGGTGAACTCTCACCTACTCTGCGGTCTTGATCAAACTACTCCGTTTTCACCGAAAGGTGACTGCGAGATTTTGGTTATTGAGCATTGGCAACAGTGAGAACAATCGGGCGTACGACAGTGTTTATAATCGAAGCGTTACTAGAAGAAATCACGATATGGAATAGATCAATGGTTTATCGCGAATCACTCGCTCAAGTCTGCATGCATACAAAGTGCTCTCTTCTAATGACAAATATGACAGGTTCCGTTGATGAACTGGTAAAGTTCTAATTTCGAAAAAAAGCCTTATCTTATTATGCTGTGCACTGAACGTCAAATGCCAAAAGAAATACAACCCTGGAAAAGCTGTACGAGAGCACTGTGAGGGACATACGTTGATGACCCAATCAGACAGCCGTGAATGACAAGAACGGATACACATCATAAAATCGGCAAAGATAACGAAAGCTAATCATGAGCTGAACAATGTAGATGATTCCCAACAAGAATAAAACAGCCATAAAGTGATTGTCGACTTTTCAGCCTAGGTTGTCCTTGTTATGCGAGACTGCATCCAAGTTGAAACAACAACAGGATTTAGAGGTACACCGGTCACTCAAGAGCTCCCATAACAAATGAAACAAAACAATGTGGCGTGCAAAACATAAAGCCACATCCAAACTGACCTGTTATGAAACGCTGGATAGGAGCCAACAGCGACGTGTGAACCATACTTTTCGGCCAGGACAGACAAGAACGGAGCTATTTTCGACTCTTCGTGCATTGTATAGATTGATCGACTGCTGAACTGAATCCGTGGATCCCGCAAATGTTCCTGTGTTAAAAGAATGAATAGAGGAATGCAACGTGCTGCGAAACATAAGATAGTCTACGGGAAAAACTTATCTCATCGTACGTAAGAGCATGTTTGGTTGAATGGATCTGATCGACCTTTGGCAACGTGCCGGTTAACCCTGCCATTAGAATCCAGTGTTTAAGCCCATCATCAGTTTTGAGCGCTCCCGTCAATCAACGAACAAACGTACGAATATAAACGCGTATACTGTGTATAGTGTGGTCTGAAAAATCACATCTGACTATCGCAAGTATCAGATAAGGAGAGGAATAAACTTGAAGCCAATGAAAGTAACTTTCCAAAATCGTTGCAAGAGGGTGAATTCAAATAGGTGATTTCTAGAAACCTGCGCAGATCGGTCAATTCCAAAACGAATTTTTTTCATGTCTTGAAGAGGCTCAATAGTAGTCCTTTCAGATGAGTTCATGGATAACGAGTAGGAATTTTAAAGCAAGCATATTTCGGGAAAATAGGTAGCTGGGCGGACATAGAAGAGCAGTGTATGGTGCATATTTTTCATGAGTCCACCGACTGGACTAGTCGATGAGAATGCCTCAGTTCCCACTGATGCAAGAAGATCCCATAAATTGCAGTTCAGCGTTTCTTTTGCATCTTTAGGTACAGTAAACACTCACTCTGAAAGAGATCGCTGTGTGTGACAGTTAGCTACTTTCCTATGCAAAATTCTGTTCTACATTGAAGTCGGTGTCATATGAACTGACTGTTCATCGATTTTTTACAAGACCTAAGCACACGATTGCGAAAACAATTGTGGTTTGAAAAGGTTAAGGTGTGTGATACAGTGGGTTTCTACAGCGATTCGGACTGGAATAAAAAAAAGCATCATTGGAAATGCAAACTGCGTTTAACGCACAGCTGGACTGTATGTACGTAGCAAATCGAAAACGGTGGATGACGGGAACGATACTTTGTGAATGGTTGCTACAATTTTATTTACAATGGAAAGGTAGACTGATAATTCCACTGCTTGACGACTCACTAAGTGTTGATCAAGCTGACTAGCCTCGTAGCTTACCGCCAAATACGACGGCCAGGCGTCCAAAATTAGGCAGTGGCTAATTGGCTAATTCAGACGCGCCCACAACAAGTCGTCGACATGACGAGATAAGCTCCTAACATGCATAGAATGTTGTCTGGAAGGCGGGCATTGAGAGCCGTTGGTGTCACACAGGACCAGCTTGCGACCAAGTCCTATAAAATATGCCTCATCATTGCGAGATTAGAACTTCAGACATACAACGCAAAGACAACGGGGCCGAATGATTTTATTCAGCCTCACGTGGCCATGATGCGATTTAATAATAATAATAATAATAATAATAATAATAATAATAATAAT